AAAAGAAATATATTTTCAAATAACACATAATTCCCAGGCTCCTAAAATAACTGCACTATTTTATCAACATTTTACGTAATTGTGAAAAAGGAAACCAATATAGTTTCGAAAAGAGTAGACGGTACTATCTATTACAACATTTTCTATGATGATTCCCGCTTTTATCTATATACCGAAGTTCGTTGCTGATGGCATTAGACACCCCTTAACCACTCATTTTCATTACAACTGGGCCCCATTTTACCGTATCTCTTCCTTCTATAAATATATCGATTACGATCTTTATACCCGAAACTACTTAGTAAAAAACAGTATTACGTAGCATTGGAATGATTAAATATTGTTTAACATGTCGTTTTTTACACTATCGTAAATGGAAAAAAAAAGTTAGAAAAGTCACATAATATTCTACCACGTTTTAAAGAATTATATTATATTATAAGGTATTCCAAAAAATGTACCTTAATATAAATACATCAACAATATAATGATGTATTCTAGATATTCTTAGTATGATGTTATAGGTGGAGTTACAATTTGCGCAAGATAGCTGGCAGGAGCTGGATGCGAGAAGCCCAAAATCGATCTAAGTGGCGTGCAATGTGTAAAGCAGTGGACTGCGATAGGCTGATGATGATGATGAATACATCTGCCGCAGGTGACTATATCGTACTAGAAGAGACAATAATTTAAAAACGTGTAACTTAATTCCATTGAAATATAACACGAAAAAGCCTGTCCACATAATTACATAAGTATATTCTACTAGTATTTGCTAAGCGAATTTGCGTGTACTTAATGATAAAAAGTAGTTTTAGCTTGTCTATTAGATTGATTTAAAGAAAAAATAAAGAACTTTGACTTATATTAAATTCTTTGACTTTGCATTTAAATTGAATAGAATTTGCGAATACATATATGTAACGACATGATGCGAAATTATTTTAAAAAATCTTCTAGTCTTATCCACACAGAAATACATTTACAAGGTTTTTTTATTGACTTTACAGGAGCTCTCACATGATCATAGAAAATGATATAACATAAATATAATTACCCATTACTAATATTCTGTTCTGTGAAAGAGAATAAAGTAAGATATTTGTATAGGGAGAGAGGCGCCCATTTTAAGAAGTTTTATATATATATATGTATATTATTTTTGGAGACCAAAAATTGGTATAGGGAAAACGGAATGCGTACTTTAGAAAAGGTACTTGATGTTAATAGTAAAATATAAATAAAAGATGTAGACATAAAAGTAAAATGAATGTAATTAAACAAATTTAAAAGATGTACACATCAGTGCTCAGATATTCTATTTTATATTGGTCATATTGGTTTAGGCTATTCACAATAATAATTACACTTGTATAAAGGTAATAATTACATAGTACGTCCGTAGAACAATAGTTTTACGTTTACACTTACATATGTTCATTCCCTGTTTCAATTTATATCGAATTAACTTATATTTGAGTAAGCCTTTACAAGGGGTTACCCGTATTTAAAAATACTTACCTCACCTATGTTAATAGACTTTACGTACTATTGTTTGAAGTTATTTTAGTGTATGTAACCTGATGGTCCTTTTCAAATGTTTGCGGAGTGTCTAAAGAATATTTTTTTTCATCTTCTGGAAGACAATCATCGAGAGTATAGTATTATATTATTATTCTTTGGCTGAAATAGGGTCGGCCATGCACCAATTAGTGTATTATTTATGATTTTTGCGTTTTTTCACTTATTTGTATCAAACAAAGTTATATAGGGTATTTTAAGACCAAAAAATCAATAAAAGTTTCGTAAAGAGTTTTATGAATATAAATTTGGCATTAACTGGTTGAATATATTATGAAGACTATAATTAGAGTTAAGGTTTTACGCATTAATATTTTAGTTTGATTAATAACTTTTAAACATTTCAAATAACAAAGGCGAATGAACAATGATTTATTGCGGATTATTCATTACATGTCTCAACTTTTTTCTTTTTACCGATGTACCTAATATTGTTAAAAGAAATAGCTGTAATTATGAATAAAAACTTTTAACACACGCTGGTAAACAGATAAGCTATAGTACTTAATACAAAATAAATGCTTTTGTTTGTTTCATAACTCAGCTCACTTACAAAGCACTGAAATTTTATTAATTTTAATCCTCTCCACAAGATTCTATAAATCATAACTTTTTCAATATCAGGATAATAAAATTCCAAAGTAAACCGTACGGTTTAAAAAATTACTGGATTATCCGTAGCTTTAAAAATCCTCTTAAGGGTTTTAATTTTCTGCCAAATCTTTAGTGAACACTGTATTTTCTATTTTTTTCCTATTAACATTTTGCCCTGTTCTGTGTAACTTTCTTTTTAAATCTCTATAGCGTTTATTTTATTTGATTTATTATTCGTGAAATAACAAAAAAGAGACGAATCATAAATTACAGTTAACTATAGTTTTACTTTTGTAAATAAAATGGGCCAGTTGCCATTATGCGGGTAGTTCATTAGGGTATCTTGTTTTTTAAGTAATTTTAAAGATGCAGATGAAAGTCATTCTTCAACACATCAGTACAATAATATACTGCTGTTACATTTCCAGCTACAAACGCATGTAGACATACAGTAGACAAAGTAATTGAAGTATCAATGATAATTTATGTTTTGTCAGTTTTTTTCTTTTCTTCTTGAATTGCGGCGAATGCTTTAAGCCAACGTGAACGAGCATGAATCTTCTATATTTTGATATCGTTTATGTATTTTTTTTTTCATTAATTAAAAATATCATTTATGTACATCAAATATAAACAGTAGCAATGCTTGCGAGTTTTGAGTGAGCAGCTAAAATGTACTGTAAAGAACGCTGAACGTTACGACGGCTTTTAGAACTCATCAGAACGTATACATCTTCAATCATCATCATAACGTTACGAGGAGATATTTCGCAATAAGTTAGTTAAATATCATCTAAAATAAGTTTCTTTTCACCTACGGTTTACATTTAAATATAGACGGCGAAAATGAAAATAAACAAATATTTTAATTCCCATATGCATCTTCATTTTATCTAGACTATAAAATATCTATTTACAAACGTAGGTACCTAAATGAAAGAGAGCCAATCAAATTACTAATTTAACTGTTCATTCCTATAGGACCACAATCGTGCACTTAAATTTATATCTCTTACTAGGTCGTAAAGTTATAGGTAGAGCACGTGAGAACACACTCTGGTAAGACAACCAGTCCTAAAACAGAATAATTAAGAGACGAGATGGTCACACCTTCTACCATTATTAAGTGATATTTTTTATTAAGATTATTGCTAAATATATAATGTATTACGGTCATACGGTAATAATCTACACACATATTCCATATTTATATCTGTGTGAGAAGCTAAGGCGCCAAATTGTTTAGAGCGGTAAGATGTTAGCATATTAATAAAACTGTTAATTTGTCGACGTTCTTATGATACTAGCTCATTAATACTAAAAGTGTCAATATAAAATAGTAGAATGTAAACACAATTACGATCTTCCGCGTTCATTCTATGTAAATTGAAAAAATGCTCTCTCTTCTCGCTCGATTTGCGAGGCTTCGGCTAATCTTTCGCCAGTCGACTACAATTTAATCAAAGTAAACAACGACGGGACTGTAATTTATCTGGATTATTTCGCGGCGAGCGATAGTAATCGACTTTTTTCTCTATCTGTATACAGTGAATGCTTGGAATGAGAACTCGTAATGTGTCTTGAATCCCAAGATACAGAAATGATTATTATTTATACATGAATGAAAGACGTTGAATATATTATTCTTTAAAAAGGTACTATATCGATATATATTTAGAGTATATTAGCCATTTACATAAATTAACCAATTCTCGAAAGCTCTTTTCCTAGAATTTCTATACAAAACTAAAATGAATGGACAATTAACGATATAAATGACTTAATTAAATCTGCTTACATTCAAGCCAATAGATACAAGGGTAGGAAGTGGCCGTTTAAAGCCACATTTTAGACACTAATTTTGATTCCGCTCACACAATAAGGGTACTACTATTAGGTACACCTAGCAATTTGGGAATTAAGCAAAGGCGGCAAGAGATATATTTCATATAGATGGATCCTTTGTAAGCCTTGGTTCGATCAGATCAGGACTGCTTAACTGTTACTGAGCTGGCTGTTGAAAAAAAGTGCAGACCCTCTAACACAAATGGCCAAGATAACGTAAATACAAATCCACTTTCACCATATACTTTATTAATGGGCTTTAGCGATATACATTTATGTTAAAGATTTCAATTGCGTTTATTTATGGATAACATTTATACTCGCAATTAATTAAAAAAAAAATACTATACGTTTAACGCCAGCCACTAGTCAACTGAACAATTTTAAAATTGGGCGTAATTTAATTGTAGGAAAACAAATTTTCATGTGTAAATATTAAAGGCTGCCGTTATTTAACACTATGGTGGTGTCGGGGCTTTTTGGCCGGAGGAGAGGTAAAATACAACACCGTAATTAACGTCACCATGTCTGTTAACTTTTGCGTAAAATATTACTTTTTTCGTCCTTTACAAGAGGCTTTTAATAAAGCTTTATTACGAATAAGTCTTTATTAAATCGATTTGTATTTTATATGCCACAATTAAACACTGACGTATAGTAATCCACTATACAATATGTATTACATACTAAGCCATTCTACTATATCCAATCTATAATGTTCAATTACAAGGAAATAACTAATAAAATGTTTAAAAATACCCAAAATCCTATTTAGGTTTGTAGTCTAGCCGAGTACACTATGTATCTAAGAAACAGGTGACATTATTATGGCCTGCCCCGGTTCTGGGGAATACGACTATTGTTTCAATCTATTCTATTAAGAATAATATTCAAGTGCCATTTACTTGACTTTTCTCTTTTCCTTATTTCCTAGTGTAACGCCGGTTTATAAAGCGAGGTATACAAGATTTTTAATTTACCTTTTTTCCATCTAATTCGTGTGTTGCTTGAGCTAATACTTTGTCTACGCTAGCTGGGTCGCCGAATGTGATGAAACCAAAGCCCCTGTAACAAACAAGAATATAAAATGTTAATATACACTTCGTCGGAGACAGCATAAGTATGATGTTCCCTTTAATGTAAACATATATTCAAATTATTTTGCAGACCATAGACGTCTATTACATAGTGTGTAGTAATTAGCTTCCATATAAAGAGCATATTTATTTTTAAAAAAATTGACGGATTGAGAAATTAATGATTACAAAGTAAACATTATTTTTTTATTTATTTACTTCGCAACAGGTTATATAAATAATTCTGGGTAATATTGGATTTTTAGTAGGAACTTAATAATATACTTATTTCACTATATTTTCTACCATATAACTACATAGTGGTTGATTAATTGACCTCTCGTTGTAAATAAATATATTAAATGTATGAATAATGGTTGAATCTTGAGATATCAATAGAAGCAGGGGTGGTTCATGGTTACTTTGTTTTTGGTTTAAAATCCATCTAATAAAGTTTTCTTATAGATTTATAATATCGGAGGACACTAAACCCTAATAAAAAAAGTTACAAACTACCATTTCAAACTGAGTTTCACTTTTATATAAGTAATAATAGTTCATCTTCACAACCGAGTTTAAACTACGACAATACGTAATAAATTTAAATTTTTATTCTATTTAATCCAAAAAAGTTTAAATAAAGCAATTTTATCTCTTTTACTCTAAATTTTCATGGGAGAAAATTTTCTCTCCTCCTTTACTAAAGCTTTCCGCCTTTCTATTCTAAGTGAAACGTTAGCACCGTCCAGCGGAGCACAGACTAGAACTAGCTACAGAGACAGAAACGAGTGTAGCACACTCGATACGAACTGTCTCACTGATTGCGCGATGGACCTGCCTACGAACACTAATGACGCTTATATTTATTTTACACAACCTTCGAGTTTATTCAGGAGCTTTTTCTTAAAAATACGTCCTTGAAATTTCCTTGCAGTTAAAATGATATACTCACTTGGATTGATGATAAAATTTACTGTTAGTTTCTTTTTAAATATTATGAAGAAAGCAATTTTTGGTATTAGTGAATCACTTATACAATACTCCTATGACAGTTACTGTATAACAAAGATTATAGTGTGAATAAACATGAATCTATAAAGTATACGGTGATAAAGTGAGAGGGTAGTTTCTATTTTGTGTTTCATTAATTTATAATAAATAAATGACCGGACTGCTTCTAGGTTTTGTTTTGGTTAGAACATGCTTATTCTATTTTTGTTTTGTCTAGTTCAATAATCTTTGATGATATTTTTTTTAAGGCTATAATTTCGGATTAGATAAAACTTTGAACTACAATTAGATGAAGAAGAACAAAGTATTCAAACTCTCGTATATGTCTTGTTATAATAGTGAATATAAAACAAATCAAACAAATATTTGGCGATAAAAAATTACTCCAAGCTAAGAGGTGCCAAATAAAGAGTAATAAAAAAATGACTACCGAGACATGATTATGCAAAGTTTATTCACATCGAAGTTAATATTTCCACCAAGTAAATTGAATAATAACACAGCGATTTTCAGTAAGCGGGGCACTGGCCACGACCGGGAGGCGATAAATAATAAAAAGCCTTCTCCACTTTAGGACTTGCAAAAATCACAATTTATAGAGCATTTTAATTTCACTTAGCCGATCCATATTTTACATGTGGCGGCGCGCCCGACCGTTCTCGGGACTCGAATTAATACTAAATTGAAATTGTAAAAATGGAAATACAATTTTCTCGTTGTACACGGACGGCCCGCTACCTACAGGTGTTGCCAGAAATGTGTTATAATAACAACGTTTCCTTAATATTTTTAAGGAGAAAAACTGTCATGTATGGGGCACTCTATTAATTTGTGAAGTGTTCTGTAATTTTTCAATTGTTTCCAGTAGTTAGGCAGCGACAGGTGTTATGTTGCCATTGAGGATAATGACAGTGTATAACATTGAGTGTATAACATTGACATACTATTTGAGTGTCGTTTTATGGCTTATGGTTTAATTTACTTGTTTATTTCTTTAGTTCTTATTAAAAACGCGCAATTGCTTACACAGCTTAATGTTATTTTCTTGTACATATTTATTAAATTGTTACAAATGGTTTCAAAATAAACAATTTAATTTAATGTGAATACGTGTTAATAATTTATTTATGATATTAATATTATAATATTATCTTCAGTAAGTTAACTGGCAACAGAATTTTCACATACTTACAAACATCTACCGTGTGTCATTTCAAATCCCAAACATATTACATTTAATGAATGCCCAACATATAAACTAATGCTTTAGCACCTATATTTTTTATTATATTGTACATTTATACATAAACGTTCATTCCATTTCGCTAAAAATTCACGTAAGCGGTTTCATAATGGAGTTTTTTCTGTGATACTGTATGCCGGAAAACCTTTTTTTAAAGCTTACGATAATGCGGAATGTCTTAAATTAATTTGAATTTTGCCACCATTTCGACAAACGCGTCTTATCTCAACTTTTAATTGGTTTTGGGGAGGTAATTTTTCTCTGATATTTTTTGCAAGATTTGAACATCATTTATAAGTTCCATTAAAACCCCAATAGCTACGTTGCTTCAAAAGTGATGTAAAACAATTTAAATATAATTTTATCTTTATTAAATGCTAGATTTTTAAGCCAAATATTTATCAATAATCTTGTTCTATTAGTATTGCATACTTCAAAAAACAATCGTGCAACGTATATCGTATTAAATCAGCTCAGGTCTTTATAAGATTCATGGCTTAATACACTCGCATCTTATACTCGTATACGAAAACGTATAGAGAGAAGGGCGTTCGTGTATGGAAATTGAAAATAACGAGGGCCTCCGTTCACACCGCGCATCAAGCCGACTATGTGCAACCCGACCACTAATAATCGACCTCCAGTACACCTTCCGATAACCCGTATCTCGCCCGATCTTCACACCGATACAGGAGACGTGGGGGCTCTCCTATACTTGGAGCCACTACGCGAGCTACGAGTGGAGAGGCCCTTTACCGAATGGAGTTACGTCGTACTTATCTTTAAGGGGACGTGCCTTATTTTCTTCCACTTGCAAAAGAGGAACAACTCAATTCTCTCGTACAAAACGATGGTAATAAGCTTATGAATGGTTTTTGTTATTCCAATCGGTGTAAAAACATTTTATATGCGCTACAAAAATATATTTTATTGATTTTATCCACATACATCCTTGTAAAAGACGATTTGCTTCATCTCTAAGATATTACAAATGTGTAAAACTAATTGTAACATCGTACAATAAACAAATTTAATAAATAGAAAAATAAATTACGTTGTTGTTTTTGTCATGCATTGCATTGGAACATTGAAAGTTTGATTAGGAGTCAGATTCCCGGGGTCTGAGACCATTGCGCCAAGAATTCTGCGTGCGTGCCTTACCAAAGTGCAAAAGAAATAAGGCCCCTAAGACAACATGGGAAGACTTTCAACCAAATTATGTTGAAGCTGATTAAACTATGCAGTAACAAGACTCTGTGAGCATAAATTAGTTCCTTGCAGACACTGCACCTCATTACATTTCATGCGAGATTCTAATCGTGATTAAAACCTGTCCTGACTTTCTTTAATAAAATTGCAATTATACGTATATATAATACAGTTAGAAGTGACAGCAGTTTTAACCTCTACCTCTTGTTTATAAGTAGAGTATTTGTGATCTGTGACTAACAGAAGTGTTTTAGAAATAACACGCAATAAAAAGTGATTATACTTTCAAAATAGAGATAACAAAATACACGTTGAAACGCTGGTCGAAAACAACACGTGGATACGTGTTTAAAAATTTAAAGCATTTGTTTTTATTTACTTCCCCAGTAGAGGTTGCTGTTGTTTCCTGTCCCTCTTCGGTTATGCACAATGGAGCTTAAACGGCTTAGCCGGTAGCAGGCGTAACCGCGTTCCTTTAATTTATGTATAAAGAGATTTTGATACTGTTACCGTTACAGTTATCCTGTTACAATTTAAACGAATCGCTTGTAAGCCCGTTACTGACCAACCGTAAAGACAAATCAAGGATTTTTATTACACTGTCGGGTTTTAAATTTGCTGTATTGCATATTTATTGTTTAATTGTAATAGTTGACTTAATTAACAACAAATATTTATATACATAATGTTTATATTTTACTTAATCTTAACGTGTTTGTGACTCCTAAGTTGCAGACGTTCATGGGCGGCGATGGTCACTTTCCATCAGGTGACCTGTCTGCTCGCCTGTCCCTCTAACATAAAAAAGCATTAATTAAGAGTTGGAAGTAAACAGAAAGTCAGTTGATCGATTAATAAGATTTAGAAATTGTCTTGTTTTCGAGTTGATAGATGGCTAACGAAATGCTTTATCAAAAAATATGTCTTAATCCGTTTGAAAACAGAATATATAGAGGTATTATTTTAACCGTTTAATGAATTAAATTTTGCCAGCCAATGGCATGACAGCTTATCATCTCAGATCTATTTGAGAAAAATGAATGAAATAAAATATATTTCTTACTGGTTTTTATTAATTAGAATATACCAGTAACCAATTAATAAGCATATTCTATACAATGACAATGCTCATGTAAAAGTTATGATCCTCGTCTTATAAATTAACGTCCGAATATATTAAATTTTAACGAATATATTATAACAATGCCGAACTCAAACTATAAAAACAACATAACAAGCTGTAAACCCGAATGCATAAATATTAACAAATTGTAGCAAACATTATCCAACCATCTGCTAATCAAGTCGTTAAATATGTGTTCATATTAACTTGCAATGATTGTACAATATATCACATTTATAGTTTACTGTTCCAATTATTTTTCTTTCACAACAAAAGCAACTTTGTTTAGTTAATATTTATTTGTTGTTGTGATGTTAATTGTATGCTAGTATTATTTGAAATAAGCCCACTGTTTCCCGCAGCGTTAGGCCCCGAACTATCGAAACTGGCCCGATAATCCACTTGGCTATTGTGTTTGGACAAAACTCGAAGAAAATAAATATAGGAGAGCGGGGTCGAGGTAAAACCCTAAACCGCAATGTCAGGAACAAATAGCGGTAACTCCCGTATTCATGGTTCATGGCTGCAGCCCCGGGTGGAAACCGATAGCAATTACTGGCGAAATTAATATCACGCCCAAATGCTACTCGCTCATTTATACGTATCGAGTGCAATATTGTCTCCTTTATTTGTTGCCGGGACAAATGTTCCCTCGTAATTCCGTCCTTATTCTCGATTGGTCTACTTCTTATTTAATCTTAACGGTAATTAACGTTTTTACGTCTAAATCTTAGTAGGCGAAGCGTTCAGGGATATAATGTTACTTAGAGCACTACATTTACTAATCTTTTGTGTTTTTGAAGTCGGGTAGACTTCAAAAACACAAAAGAGGAGGTTCTCAATTCGACAAATTATTTTTATGTGTTTGTTACGCTATATTTCTGTCAATTGTGGATTGATTTTCAAAAATCTTTTTGTAATCGAAAGGGTATCTTAGGATCTGATGATAGCATCCTAGCGAAATCCAGGGAAACCCTCAAATTTCACAGCCCCGATAACGTATTTTAACTTATTTTTCTATCTATATAGGTATTTAAGTTTAGTATTTGTTATGTCATGTTGCTGAACTGATGGTGGAAGGATCCTTGACCTTTTCGAGCTAGAGGATAACTCTTTCAAAAATCTTATCATGTATTGACCTTGTTGTATTCTTTAAATATATTTGTTAGATGTTTGCGTTGAGTTACAGAGATATATGCACAAGAGGGTAATAAATGAGATTACAAAAACATTTATACAAAAAAAATATTTATTTATACATCATGCACTTTTGGTGCATTGGCGGACTTAATGCCTAAGGCATTCTCTACCAGTCAACCATTGGGTGATGCAGAGAGAACAGGAAGTAGGTGCAAATTATTTTCATGTTTGTTACCTCTTCAAAACTCTTTTACTTGTAAATCGAATTGAAAAATTAAAAAAAAAAAGAAAAAGTATAGTAAATAAAAAAATAAATTAATTAATAAAATTTAATAATTATTAATTATTTTATAAAAAAAAGTTTTAATAATATTTCTAAAAGGCGAAAATTGATTAACAGAAAAAAAAGTATTCCTCTTACTAGGTGTAAGAGGAATACTTTCATTTTATCGATATACTCATGTTTAACTTTAAATTGATTAACTTCAATTTGTTTAATTATTTCTCTCACGTATAATTATATAATAATTCCTATTTATATTACGCAATATATCTAATTACATTCAAAAACAAAATAGTCCGTTTTCCTAAATATTCTCTATACAACGAGTAGGGTATAAAATATACCACAGCGAAATTAAGTAATCCAATAATTAATCTAAATGGACCGTACAGCCGAATGGTTCAAAACAATCAGCTTCGCCGCAAAATACGCGCATTAAATGAAGTGAATGGCCGCCTCCGGGGGATCCCTGATAAATTAAATTGATTAGAATCCCGTTCGATACCGGCCGTCGATGTAGCTCGGCGTAAAAATAAAGCTGAGTGAAAAATAACTCATCTAGCTATAGATTGCCACGATTACTTTATAAACCACTTAGATAAATAATTTATTTTGGGAAGTCATTTACTATTCATCCTACATTTTTTGTTGTGGATTTCATAGTCAGTCGTAAACCACTAAGTAAGTTATCGTAGCAACAACGGCTATCAGCTCTAATAGATGCACCGGCAACCATGATAAGAGGCTGATTGATAAAAATGGACCGTGAATAATTGTGTTTAACCAAGATTCTAAGAATACTTTCTTTAGTACTTTCACAAAAATAATTGACTTTTTTGTATTCCTTTATAAAAAAAGCCTAGTAATGGTCAACTATCTTTCATGTATCTGAGGTAATGGTAACATCGGAAGGAGAACTTACAAAAAGTTTAAAAAATAAATCTGCATTTTACAACACTGCCAATCTAAAATCTCAAAGATTTAATAACAATTTTATTAGAATTAACTGATCTTGTTTAAATAGTGCACACTAAAGAAAATTGTACTGGAATTTCCAATATCTAAATAAGAAAGTTTGATCGAGAGAGGTTTGGTCGGCGATTAAAATTTAAACTTGAATTTAGACGGCGTAATCTCATCATGGCCCGGTTGAGTAAATTTTGTGACCTGGCACAACAAAACAATAGAGTGCTATAATCTACATTGACGTAGAG